GCGACGATTCGATATTAATCCATGCGCGGCGTTTTATCATTCACCTCGTCAGTGTTCACGGAGTAACATTCGAAAAGGCCGCGTCGCGAAGCCCTCAATGGGACTCACTTCACTTCGAAACGTCGTAGTGGATACCGGAAAACGTAAATTTTATCGCTCGCGACATGCCTTTATTTTGTAACACATAAAATATTTTATAACAATTGGCGCGCGATGACTCGATATTAATCCATGCGTGGCGTTTTATCATTCACCTCGTCAGTGTTCACGGAGTAACATTCGAAAAGGCCGCGTCGCGAAGCCCTCAATGGGACTCACTTCACTTCGAAACGTCGTAGTGGATACCGGGAAACGTAAATTTTATCGCTCGCGACATGCCTGTATTTTCTAACACATAAAATATTTTATAACAATTGGCGCGCGATGACTCGATATTAATCCATGCGTGGCGTTTTATCATTCACCTCGTCATTGTTCGCGGACTAACATTCGAATAGGCCGCGTCGCGAGGCGCTCAATGAGACTCACTTCACTTCAATACGTCGCGGCGGGTATCGGAAACGTAAATTTGACCACTCGCGACATGCCTTTATCGTACAATACATAAAATATTTCATAACGATTTGGCGCGCGACGATTCGATATTAATCTATGCGTGGCGTTTTATCATTCACCTCGTTATTGTTCACTGAGTAACATTCGAATAGGCCGCGTCGCAAAGCACTCAATGAGACTCACTTCACTTCGTCGCGGCGAGTATCGAAAAACGTAAATGTGACCACTCCGCGATATGTCTTTATTTTATAATACATCGTATTTTCGAACGGCACGCGACGATTCGGTGCGACTCACTTCACTTCGTAACGTCGCCGCGTCGTCGTGGCGGATATCAAGAAACGTAAATGCGATCGCTTGCGACGTGCCTCTACTTTATAATACGTCGTATTTTCAAACGGCACACGACGCGACGCGGACGGTTCGGCGTATCGTGGTACTCACCTCACTTCGTGACGTCGCCGCGTCGTCGTGGCGGGTATCAAGAATCGCAAGTGCGATCTCTTGCGACGTGCCTTTATTTTACAATACGTCGTATTTCCGAACGACGGCACGCGACGGCTCGGTGTTTACTACGCGTGGCGTACTACTCGGCGCGCTATCGTTCGCTTTGTTATTGTAGCGCGGCGACCTTCGCGCCGCGAGGCGCTCCGTGCCGGCACTGCCGGCGCTCACTTCACACCGAAGCTTCGCCGTGGAAGGTAATCGAAGGGGACGCGGCTCTACCCACTGCTCGCGAATACGTGGTAACAAATTCGCGTTTAACTTTCACGATCGACGTCTCGTAAGCGTATCGGAGCAGCGGCTGTGTCGAGACGAGTCACGGAGCGTCGGTTGCAGTCGCCCGCCGGTCCGCTGTTAAAGACAGATTCATAAGCGAGGTTACGAGTCGAAGCGCCAAGTTAATTAGGTATCCCGCGCGATCTGGGGCCTTGAACGAAACTCCGGTTGAAAGGAAAGCGTAGTCACGAAGGGAAATAGTTGAGGCGTGCGATTTCACGCGCCACATAAGTAATCGACGATTAGCTTTAGGCGGTTCCCCCCCTCCTCCCTTTCTCGGGTTGATCGACGGTTAAACGAACCGACGCGACGCGGCGTCTTATTGCAGCGGCCATTGTTCATGTAAGATGGAAAGCGGTGCAGGTCGGGAAACATCAAGCGTCATTTACTCCGCGAAATTTACGAAGACTGGTTTCTGCGTTTGTTCTCGGGAGATATCGGTGGGGGGGACGCAGCGCGCGACCACCGCTCGCGGATACGTGGTAAAAAATTCGTGTTTAACGGTCGCGATCAACGTCTCGTGTAGTGTATACGGAACGGCGGCTGTGTCGGGACGAGTTACGGAGGAGCGTCGTTGCAACCGTCGTGTCCGGTTCGCTGTTGAAGACATTCCTAAGCGAGGTTAAAGTCGAAAACGCCAAATCGAGTAGGTATCACGCACGATCCAGTGCCAGAACGAAACTCCGGTTGAAAGGGACATTTAGTCGCGAAGGGAAATAGCTAAAGCGTGCGATTGTAAGCGCCACGTAAGTAATCGACGATTAGCTTCCGTCTCCCCCCCCCTCTCTCTCTCTCTCTCTCTCTCTCTCTCTCTCTCTC